ATTATATTCTTTGAAAATTTTTGGTCTAAGAAAATTTATTGATTTTATTTTTTAATTTAGTTTGCTTAAACTGCTTTAAAACTCTTTTATTATCAAAACTCTTCTCGACTTCCACAAAGACTTAAGTATTTCAAACATCTGTCACACTTACCATAAAAAATAAAATTAACTAATATATACAAAATATCACAAATTGCTCAAGTCTCAAATACCAGAGCAAAGCAAGACAACAAATATTTGCCTTAAACGTATTGAATAGCATAATCGAAACAAGTTTAACCAAATTATATAATTGGTAAGAAACAAAATGAAAAGAAAAATGAGTTGAGCACAAAGTAATCAGCCAAAAACTTTCCGATTATTTACGCAGCTGTCACATATCATCATAGTGAGCACAGTTATGTTTCAAATGGCTTTTAACTGGTTTTCATATTTGTGGCCGGTAATTATCATGCAAAAGTTCACAAGCGACCAGGAACATGTAAGAGGCAAAAGTAAAAAGTAAAACAAAACAAAGCAAAAATTACGAGCACTTTGGGTGCTTACAGATATGGCGAAAACGACTTCTACGCAGACAATAAAAGAGGCAACTTAAAAGGTAGCTGACATTTGATGGGCTGCGGCCCGCGACAGAGCCTACCACAAATATGGCCAAGGCACGCGTGATTTATGGCCAAGTCGAGTGCGTTGTGCGTTTGTACGTTGTAAGCTCTACGCTCTATACGCATTGCCTACGGCGTCTCGGAGATCTATCTCGCTCCCGGCCAATTGCGTGCGGTTAAGAATGTGTGTGTGTGTGTGTGTGAGTGAGTGTAAAGGAGAATCATTTTCAAAGTGTTGCGAGTTCAACGCCGCCGCTCCATTGGGCTGGCTGTTCGGTTACGCTTGGTGGCGGCCAAAACAATTACAGTGCCGCGCTGTAGTTGCAGTTGCAATTTGCAACATGCAACACTGATCCCGACGGCAGCTAAAAACAATGCAGTCACACACACACACACACACACCACGCATCGCATTGCTAATCAAAATTGTTAACATATTGTGGAAAGTAAAGGCTCAGAAACAAAAGCGAGCCAACTCAACAGTCTGGTACAAAAACATCAACAACATCGAGATAGTTAAATACAACAACAACAACAATAACAATAGAGTTTATGCACAGTGTGCGAAATCAAGATATAAATTTAAAATTTGAATTAGCTACTTGCATTATATATTACTATGAACGTTAATAAAATAGAGTCAGGAGAAATTTAAAAATATTTTCATGTGAACATTTTAGCTCTGATATTTAATTATGATCTAGACATAAATAGATCGAAAGGCATTCAAAATTTAAAGCATATGAAGTCTGTCTCTTTGAATGTTAAACAATCGTTAAAAAAAATAATTTATTTCTAAAATAAATTAAACAAGAAAATTAAATTAAATAAGAATCTTTTTATTTTTAAGAAAAATGAAAATTATAGATATTAAAAAAATTTGCGTTAGCTAATTGTTTTCTTTTTTATTTGCTCTAAAAATTGCTTAGTTGATATTCGACTATAATAAATGTATTATGTATATAAAATATTTATGAACAATTTATTTTTGTATCATTTACCACTGTCTTGTTAAATTAATAATTATTGAGCAAAAGTACATTCGACTCATTTACTACATTTTTATAATATTTTCCATATATGAAGTAATCAGACCAATCCAATTTTTCGTCTAAGCACTTTAACTGATAATTTTTAAGAGCCATTCATATTTGCAAAAAATAATTTACATATTTCCATGAATAGTTCGTAAACTGAAAAAAAAAAAGAAATATATATTCCTATAACTCTCCAGCAATTGCGAGCTAACCCAACAAATATTCACTAATTATACTTAAGCTCTCAGTTTAAACGACCTTGCCTATAATTTACCTTAAATTATGACTAATTTCTCATAAGTATTACCAAAGATTTGTCATACGAGCAGCGAATTTTTTCCCTACTAAGATAAATGAATCACAAAAAAAAAGATTTTTTTCAGCTCAGCTGAGAACTTAAATGCTTGCCTTAAGCTAAACGCGTAACAAAGGAAATCATTAATAAGATGAAATAGAGAACTGTGTCTATAATTACGGCATGCGGTGTAGTCAAAATGCAATCGTATATACCCTTTAGTGTTTAATTTAGTAGAGAAAGAAACGAAGAGAGAGGGAGATAGAGAGAGAAAACATGGCTGAATGGTGTGTGGCAGGTTCAATCAACTTGCGGCTCTCTTGCAGGCTCCAATGGCCTTGTCTGCCGTCGAGACGGCCAAAATGCTCATTAACTTGGCTAAGCGGCTTGACGCACCCCACAGATGATCTAATCGCCAAACACTTAACACTCAATTGAGCGACAACAGCAACAGACAACAACAAGCGACTTTTATAGTGAAATGTGAGCGTGAATGATAAATCACAAAAAAAAAAAAAGAGACAAGCTGCAACAACGCTAATTTCCAATGCAAGCGTTTGGTGTGGGCCTGCTAATTCCCCCCGGATCGAAAGCGTACTACAGAGCTGAATCATCGGCTTTATAATTTAAAATATACTAGAGCTAAAAATCATATAAAATATATTTATGTACAACAGTTGTACAAATGAGCCTTTGCAATTATTCTTTGTAAATAACTAAGATATACTATTCCAGAAAGAGGATTATCAAAGTCGAAAACAAGTGCGTATACAGATTTGTGTAATATTAAAATATATAGCGGATATACTCGGTATATCTGTATATAGGTTTTAGAGTTGGTTTCTAAACTTTAGTCGGTTGTACTAAAGTTCTTTACAGCTGAGTTTGGAACAGATATTATGAAGAACAGCTAAGAGCGTTTTAATAAACAGTGGCTAGGCTAAGACACCCTCACGGTCTGTGGCATGTCTTTAAGCTGGGTTTTATAATGGTAAGAAATGGCTAAATGACAAATTGGGTAGCTGATTTGATGAATTTAAATAACTTCTATGGCCTTTCGTCACAACAAATAAAAAATTAAACAAAAATGGATATTTATAATATAGTTTGAATGATATTTTTAAAAGCTACTTGTATTAAAACAATAGAAATATATTTACTTTACATATACGAAAAAAAATACGTAAATCATAACTCACTTATTTAGCGTTATAGACTGAGGTATAACGTAAAAAATATTCCAAATAACGCAAACGTTATGTGTTTTGTTCTTCTTCTTTCGTTGACTCGTAGCGATAATCCACATAGAATGATTCCAAGGAATGCATGCAGTAGAGCGAAGCTTAGGGGGAAGTAGGAGTGCGCTTATGGAACGAGCGAGATGGACTAAACGAGGAACACAGAGTATGTGTGTGTGAGAGAGAGAAGGGGAGAGTGCGCGCACGATACGTAGCTTGTGGTTACTTTTTAACTTTTTAACTTTTTTTATAGCACATTTTCTTTTCTTTCATTTGAATCTTGCTTTATGGCTATTGTATATTATTGAAAAAACTTTTTACTGCCTAGGCAAGCACTTCTTCTTCTTCTTTTTGTTTAACACTTGCAGACACTTCTATTATTTTTATTATTATTTATTACTTTTTGCGAAGCCGTTGTCCGCAACAAACGCGCATTAAAATATAACAAAACATATATGAAAACAACTACAAAATATACTGGACGGATTGTTGTTGTCGCTGCTGCTGCTTTGTTGTTGTTGTTGTTATTGCCAGCTAGCGCGATCCGCTTGGTAACTGGCGACGCTGACGTTTCAGAAGTGACTGAAAAGCGCCCGAGCAGCAGCAAGCGCAGCGAAGCTGCAAACGTGTCTTAAACGGCTTAAATGGTAAGCAGGTATGGAGAGAGAGAGAGAGAGCGCTAGCGAGCGCACAAACTGGCCGAGAGAGAGAGAGCGTACGATCGTACACACAAAGTAAAAGCTAAAGAATATAAAGTAAACTGGTTATGCTGCTCGGACCGGCACAATTCTATTTGATTAACTTGGACCTGTCTGGCAGCCAACCAAGGAACCAACAGGCTCTCCAAGCTTCCCAAGCAAGGTTAATAACATCGACAGCCAGCAGCAGCAGCAGCAGCAGCGACAAAAAATGCAGACGCAACTGCAACTGTGCATACAAATTGTTTATGAAATGTGAGACGAACGAAAGCAATGCTAGAATGGACAGACTATAAATATCTAGTAATAAAGCTGGCTGCTGGCTGCTGGAGTTGTCTGGCCTCCCCAGGGCGTGCTATTGTTTGTTCCCAATACCTTAACCAGTTTCAACTTTTTTTTTTTGGCATTTTGCAATGCAGCTGTTATGCAAAATGCAGCAGTGCTGCCCAGCACGATAAAAGTGGGTGGCATAAATGACAAAAAACTGGAAAGCAAACGCAAGTAGGCGAATCTAGTGCAACTGAAGGAGGGATATGGGAAGGAGAAGGAGTAACAGCAACCAAATTCCTGTTAGTCGACCATATTGACCGCATTATTTGACGTCTGCACAATGAGCGTAGCATATTAGGCTAACGACAACTGGAAAGGCTGGTTATAAATAGTTACCTCAACTAAGCCAAGGCATTACGGCTAATTGGCCAAACGACGGCCATGGACGCATACAACAGGTATGCGTCGGCCATTTGTGGCAGGCGGTAGTGGTAATCAGAAAACACAAAATAGCATAGTTGTGGAAAGTCAACTTCTGAAAAAAAAAAAAAAAAAAACATAATTAAAGTAAATATTTGATGCTTAATCAATGTCAGCGCAAACATACAAACCTTTCCGACTAATGGCGTTACAGCTCATTCGTAAATTGTTTTTCTATTTTGTAAGCAAAAATAAAAGCACACAACTGGAATGAAACATATTAGACTATTTTCTTTTTTTAAATGCACGGCCATAGTATGATAAAACCCGCTTAAACTACATATAGTACGGCCACACTGCTTGCGAAAACAGCTGTTGCTTGTTTAGCGTTGCCACCTGCTGCACAAATGAAAAAAAAGACTGTTTGGGTAAACACGCTAAAAAATGACACCAAAAAAGCACTAATTTTTTGTTGGTTTTTTATGTTATTAACACAAAAAACTAAATAACAAAAATAAAAACACCGTAGGCCCGGAGAAAAATGCCTTGCTGGTACTATGACAAAAAGGAGCTACGCGAGACACCTTCAATTCTGGATGGCGTTACATACGAGACAGAGCGTCGCTATCGCAAAGAGGGCGCACGCTTCATCATGGAATGCGGTACCAAAATGGGCCTCGGCCACAATACAATGGCCACCGGCGTCGTCTACTTCCATCGCTTCTACATGTTCCACTCGTTCAAGAGCTTTCCCCGCTACGTCACCGCCTGCTGTTGTCTCTTCCTCGCCGGCAAGGTGGAGGAGACGCCCAAGAAGTGTCGCGACATCATTAAAACCGCTCGCGGCATCCTCAACGACAACTATTTCTATTCGTTCGGCGACGATCCCAAAGAGGAGGTAATGACGCTGGAGCGGATATTGCTGCAAACAATTAAATTCGATCTGCAAGTGGAACATCCGTACACCTTTCTGCTCAAGTATGCCAAGTGCTTCAAGGGCGATCAGCCGAAGTTGCAGAAAATGGTGCAAATGGCGTGGAATTTCGTCAACGATTCGCTCAGCACTGTCGTCTGTCTGCAGTGGGAGCCGGAGATCATAGCCGTAGCGCTCATCCATTTGGCCAGCAAACTGAGCAAATTCACGGTGCTTGACTGGCTGGGCAGACAGCCGCATCATCAGCGCTGGTGGGACATGTTCGTGTCCAATGTGACGATGGAGATACTGGAGGACATTTGCCATCAGGTGCTCGATTTGTATCAGTCGACGCAGAAGGAGGGACAGGAGCCCAACAGCCCGCCACAAAAGCCGCCCAGCCGGGCCGACAGCCCAACAACAACAACAGGTGCAGCCGGCGCCGCCGCAGCATCGGCAGGAGCAGCAGGAACAATAAATGCGAATTGCCCACAGCCGCCGACCGCAGCCCCGCCCACCGCCGGCAATGGCGGCCTGATGGGCGAACTCAACAATATACAAACCATCAAATCGCTGGCCAGTGCGGTGCCCGTGGCCGTCGTCTCCATACCGCCGCCATCCAGCGATGGCCTGCCGCTGCCCACGCCAACTGTGGGCGTGGCCGCACCACTGCCACCACCACCCAGCAATCTGAACAGCAATGCTGCCAATTATCACATGTATCACGCACCACCGCCGCCGCCGCCACCTGTGGTGCCGTTGCCGCCATATGCGGCCAATGCCTGGACACAGCAGCCGCCGCCGCCGACGCACTACAGCACGGCGGCGCCGCCACCGCCAATGCCGCCCAACATGGGACCAGGACCGCCGGGCGGCGGTCCACCTGGCTATTACAATGCTGGCCGCCAGCAGCAGCAACAACAACAACAACAACGCTATCAGTAAAATTTGGTCAACTTTTTTTGTAGTAAAGGAAAAATCAGAAGCAACAGTACGTGAATGTATAATAATATTAATAAAGCGTAATTTTATTAAAACAAAAAACATTATTCGCATTACCCTTACTTTTGCGGGGGGTACTGTGGGCGGGGTGGTCCAGGTGGAGTCTGGGCAGCTGTTGCTACATTATGAATTGTAATGGTATATGTGCGTATGAGTATATGTGTGCGTGTGTGTATGGGTATGGGTTGTGTGATGTTTACACGCTTGCAACTAAAACATGATTTAGCCTAAAATTTATTTCCATAAATTTAAAAAAAATGAAGGAGCTTGTTCTAAAAGCACAAAATGCAAAAAAATAAATAAATAAATAAATAAA